AGGCCTACGCGGCAGTCTAGGAACAGAGTTCATCACCACCTTTATGCAGAATTATGGGCCACCTGGCACGTGCGTGTTGCAGATCACCGGCCAGTTCGACCTCACTCGCGTGACCATCTCTGTCCCTTGTAGTAACTGCCAGGACAAACCAAGGTACCTGGAGAAAATTATAGTAAACAAAGGAAGTACAGCTAATGTGACCCTCCCGACATATGTGGAAATCACAGGCAGCAAATTGTTTTCCGACGTCGTCCGGATCAGCGCGGACAAAGACATCTCTGTGGTATCCGTGAACTCCAAGGCTTACAGTACTGAGGTCGCCCTCCTGTACCCTGTGGACAGTTTAAGGCATGAATATTACATAGTCACTCCCTCCTCAGGGCCAAGTGGGGCCTTTCCGGAGTTCTCTGTCATCACCTCCCAAGGGCCTAATGTGGTAGACATCTACCTGAAAGCACAGGTGACCTTCAGTGGGAAAATATATCCTGCAGGAAGCAAACTGACAGTGACTTTGGAAGCTTTCCATGGAGTCCAGCTGCAAGCAAATGTTGATCTGTCTGGTACTAGGATTATCTCCAAGGAGCCTGTGGCTGTCCTGTCTGGTCATGTCTGTTCTTGGAAGTACACGAAGTGTAACCATGTCTATGAGCAGCTCCAGCCTGTCACCCACTGGGGAAAGACCTTCCTGGTGCCTCCCTTACCCTGGCAGACCAAGACAGATATTCTCTATGTCTCAGCATCTCAAACCACAGATGTGAACTACCAGATAGGAGAAAACAAGCAGACAGCCAGAGTGGAAGGCGGGCAGGTGCTGCAGGTTCAAGTCTTGCCCAAAAGCTCCGTCTACCTCTTCGCCAGTGCTCCCGTACAGGCGGTCTTCTATAGCACAGGTGCAGTTCTCCGGAGCTTCAGCTATGACACCTTGTTGATGGCGATTCCAGATAAAGAGAAGTACAGCCGTCTTTACACTGTGACTGGACAATCTGGCTTTCAAAATTTTGTCTTTTTTGTGGCGAAGACTTCGGAGACTGGAGAAGTCACGCTGGACGAGAGTCCGTTGAACAAGTTGTTGTGGCAAATGATCCCTGGCACAGACTACTCCTGGGCCGCGTATGAGCTGCCGTTAAGAACTTTGCCCTACACCATAGCACATCCGAAATCCCCCTTTGGGCTCCTGAGTGTGGGCATTGCTAATATGAACTGCTATGGGACACCTGGTGCTGCTGTGGAAGGTGAGGAGATGGCGCCTTCTCTTGGATCCTACTTGGGTGTCGTGCTGGAGAAAGTGGGGGGGGGAGAGTGAGAAGGAGGTGCTGTCCTCTGGTGGTGGGTGCTGAAATGGCTGCACAGATTGTTGTAGGACAAAGACAGTTCCAGGTTTAGCAGGGCCTCGTGGGGCAAAATGTCTTCTGTGGAGGACCCCTTCTTAGGACATCATTGCTGTGAGCTCCACCGCCATCTTCCTCTGGGTCCAGTTGGTCTACTGTAGAGGAAGATGGTCATGGCTTGTGCAGATCTTTAAGAACATAAGAAAGCCCTGATGGAGGAGGAAACGAAAAGTCCACCTAACCTAGAGCTGGAAAAATGGTTTTGTACTATCAATCCCAGAATTGCTAGTCAGCTTGTGAGGTTCTGGGAGTTGTACTCCAAATCATTTCCACCCATGAACTGGTCTTTCATCCTCTCTGCACAGTGGTCAACTAGAGGCCTAAGAGAAGCTCACAAGCAAGACAGTAGGGCAAGAACATTCTCCTGCTCTGCCTCTTAGCCATAGCATACTGTATCTGATAATGCAGTTCACATGTTGCCATCATAGCGCCTGGCTATTGATAGCTGTATCATCTCTGAATTCATCCCATCCTCTTTTAACAACATTCAGCTTTTGATGATCATCAGTAGCTAGTAAATTCCGTCACTTGACTAAGGGATGTCTGAAGAAGTGCTTTTTCTTCTCTGTCCTGGATCTCTTTCTTGCAAGTATCAGACAGGAAGAAGAGATCACACTGCACATGCTTCTTCCTTGCTTCTGTTCATGCACTTGTAAAGGGCCAAGTTAGGCAGCTCTAGGCAGAAATGGGCAGCTGCAAAGAGAGCTTTCTGTCAGCCCATGTCATCGATAAGTAGCTGCTGGGTTCTCAAGTCTGGGCTGACTCCAAGTGCTAAACCACTTGCTGCCACCATTTCAACTGTCCACGTTGCTCATGCCATAACATCACTCTGGGACTGGATGCACTCTGAGCAGGGTGCAAAATTTAAGTGATGGCTCCATGCTGCCAGGTGCTGAGCTACGTCCTACTGCTGGCTGCTTTCACTGCCAGCTAAGCTAGTCAGATTGCATTTTTCAGAAGCCCTGAGGAATCTGGAATGTGCCCTGTCAAGTAGCAATAGAGGCAGGAGACTTCGGGGATTGGGAGCAGAGTTTGGGGAAACTATGGTTTTGTACCATGACTTCCAGGATGCTAGGGGATACCAATTTCTATTCAGGCATTAGCTTCCTAGCTGGAGTCTAGGTGGATTAAGGTTAATGTACTTGGGGAAACTATGGTTTAGGACCATGACTTCCAGGATGCTAGGAGAGACCAAGTTCTGTTCAGGCATTAGCTTCCTGGCTGGAGTCTAGGTGGATTAATTTTGTGGAATTTTGAAATTTTAATAGGCTGTAATGTATTTCGCAGGGTTGATCCATTAATGTTCTCTTTCCCATTCATTCTTAGGTGCAAAAGAGCTTAACTGCAGCAGCGTGCGGTGTCAAACAGGCATGGAGTGCAAGATGATCAACGGGCAACCAACATGTGTACCAGTCTCTAATGCTACTTGCTGGGCATGGGGTGACCCACACTACCATACCTTTGATGGGGTCAACTATGACTTTCAAGGCACCTGCACCTACACAATTGCCAAGACCCGTGATGGTGGTCCCTTCGGGCTCCCGTCCTTCCACATACAAGCCAAGAATGAAAACCGAGGAAATAAACGTGTCTCCTATGTGGGTTGGGTGTCTGTTGAGGTTTACGGATTCACCATCACGATCAGGAGGTCAGAAGTCAGTTTTGTCAGGGTGAGTGGTAATCAATAATGATTAATTAAGAAGGAGTGTTAACCCCATTGAGGCTGGGTTCTGGTGTTAGATGACTTTATTGATAACAGCAGCAGGAATAGGGATAGTAATCATTTTGTGTCGTCAAGTATATTTTGCCTTATGGTGACCCTTTTCTAGGTAGAGAATACTCAGAAGTGATTTCCCATTTCCTTCTTCTGGAGGCATCCTGGGACTGTGCAGCTTGCCCAAGGCCACACAGGCTGGCTC